GGCCGCCCTGCCAGCCCGGCTCCTCCATCCCCGCTCCGCGGGGGAGGCGGCGGTGCCCGCCCTGCTGCTACCCGCGGGGGGCGGGATGTAGCCGGCCGCTGGGTCGCACGTTTCTGCTCATCCTTTGCTGGGGGCGCAAGCAAGTATTTCCCCGTTGTTTTCATATCTTCATCCATATATATATATAAAGTACGTATGCAAAGCTTTAAGTCTGTAAAGACTGGTTAAGCGTTTCTAAACCTTCGAGTTTGCGCGCAACTGCCCCCTGGGTACCACCTCCGAGGTCTGGTGGTGGCAGCTGAGCTCCCCGCACTCGGGGAGTAAATACATCTGCTGGCCGCGGTTTCATACGAGCCGCGCTTACGAGTGAAGGCATGTTCTGTTCTGCATCCCTGAACGGACACCCAGGGGGTTGTGTGGTTTGTTTTTTTCCCCTGTGTGAGAGTTCCCGGGTGTGTCCCACCGTCCTGTGGCCTGGCTCCTGTGCGCAAACACAGGGTGTTTCACTGAGGCCACGGCTACCTGGTTTGCAGGAGCCTCTTGGCTTCAGGGGCGCTACGGCTACGTTAGCTCTCAGCAGCTCTTCTGTCAGAAACGAAACGTCCCTGGAAGCCTGTGCCCAAAGTCACCCTTTCTATGGAGTTTGGAGTGAGTCCCTTCAGACTCTTGAGAAATTGGAAACTAACAGAGTAGAGCTCCTATTTGCATGGCAGAGTTGGGGACTTCCATACAGATGGGACAGATGAGTATTCACCACTGCCCGCTGGCATGTGATTTCCTTTGTTGCAAGGAATAAACGATATGGAAATTAATTCGCTTTTCAGTTGTTTCGTAGGAGGTAACAGAATAGAGAGGTACTACAGAACACAGATGTACTACTGCACAGGCAGTGAATGCTGTGTAAAAGCTTTTTTTTTAGTTTTGAGGGTTTTTTTTAGATTTTTGTTTTTTAAAATATCAACTATCCTAAACATTTAATAATTACTGCCACGGGAATGTAGGAAACAATAAAAATAATGAGCTCTGACCTTTATCAGTATTTTTTCTCCCTTATGGTGCACCTGTATGGTGTGACCAGTCCTGACCAGTTTGCTGGATGCTGCTCAGGGTGTGCTGTTCTCTATCTGTGTAAATGGCACTTGCTGTCGGTCTTCAGCACGGCCAAAATCCAGGTGAGAGATCTGAGGCCTAATCCTGCAAACCCTTCCTTGCACAAGGTGTCTCATATGTTTTGGGCAAACCAAACTAAGTAAACTTGCTCCCTGGAGCTTGTACCAGCATATGGAGCTACAGGTTTTTCAGTGCAAGTAACGTTTGCTGCCACGGAACAAACTGCCGTTGTTCGAATGGGAGTAGTACTGGGCCCTAACCCAGAGGCAGGAAGGTTCACGTCCAGCTAATCCTGGCTGCCAGACGCTTATTTTTAGTTCAGAATTAGCTGAGGTTCAGCGTGAGCAGTGTGGGGGAGTGGAGAACGGTTCACAGTGCCTCTTTCAGGGAACAGCTTCAAATGATATGGGAAAGAAACAAGTGGTAAGTTTGTGGATCCTTCAGTCTTGCCAGTCTTACGGCCTTTTTTATTTCTGATGTCAACGGAATTTTTGGAGAGTGGGAAATATTTATTCCTGTATACTCTTTTAATATAATTATATAACACAAAATCTGAAAGTAAACTGCCTGCCTTTTTCTACATGAGAGAAAGTGCAAGAGCTCAGTTTCAGATTGTCAACAGGAGATACTTGGTTTTAGATTTTAGTTGTGTTTGACCTGCTGGTAAATATTTTCAAAATTATATGAAAATTAGTGTTTTATCATATTTTAAAGTATTTTTCATAAATAAGCTTATTTCCTTTTTATTGCTTTTCCTTAATATTGTTCTGAATTTACAACTTTGTTAATAGAAAATACTCAGCTCACACTATAGACTGTGCAAGTATCTTGAACGCATAAATTATTGCAGTGTTTTGGTGTTTAAATAGAATGACTGATAAGCTTTCCCAGGAAAGCAGTGCCTTCTATGAAAAGTGAAAATTATTTAAGCGAAGTTGAAATGCAAGCTGCACCTCGCACACAGGTGTTCGGTACATGTCCCTAACGCAGTGCCCATCAGAACTCTGGCAAAAGCATATTATTCCTGTGTCGTGCTGAGCACTTTTATGTAACATCAGGAGTCTCTCGCTATGTAAGAGGCATGTTCTGACCGTATCTGGAAATAGCTGTTTCCTGTGAAGGGGTGTACCAGGCGCTCAGAAGAGAGGTGGTTTCAGCCTTACAGAAGTTGACTTTTGTCCCTATTTTGTCTTTCAGTGCCCGCCTCGTGCCCTCCCTCCAGTGCCAAGGTAAGATCAGTTCATTCCATGGAATTGATCATGGTTCTGTATGTAGTGTTCTTAAAAGTAATGAATTAAGAGAAATAAGTTTAATAAACATCGGAGTAGTCATAACAGGTTTAAAAATATTAGCTTTTCTTGCTAACTACTTGTCCTAGAACCCCTTACAAGGGATGCATAGCATTTTAAAGTTTTACAGAGGCCAAGAAATTTTACTACATTACCTCAGTTTTAATACTTTGAGAGAGAAACCCTTTAAAAAGTTTCAGACAAATAGCTACTTCGGTTTTATTAACATCTACTGTAGTTTTACGGATGTCCCTCTTTTCAGTCTCTTCTTCCTTCCCTCTTTGTTTTTGTCCTGATTTCGGCAGGGGTAGAGTTAATTTCCTTCCTAGTAGCTGGTACAGGGCTGTGTTTTGGATTTAGGATGAGAACAAAGTTTAAAAAACGGGTAGATGAGGCGCTTAGGGACATGGTTTAGTGGGCATGGTGTTGTTGGGTTGATGGTTGGACTCGATGATCTTGGAGGTCTCTTCCAACCTTAATGATTCTATGATTCTATGATTCTATGAAAGTTGATAACACACCGATGTTTTAGTTGTTGCGAGGTAGTGCTTACACTAGTCAAGGACTTCTCAGTTTCCCATGCTCTACCCACTGAGAAGGCTGGAGGTGCACAAGAAGCTGGGAGGGGGCACAGCCAAACTGGCCAAAGAAACATTCCATACCATGTGACGCCATGCTCAGTACATAAACTGGGGGAAGCTGGCCGGGGGGGCCGCTGCTGGGGGACTGGCTGGGCATCGGTCAGCGGGTGGTGAGCAACTGCACTGTGCATCACTTGCTTTGTGTATTATTATTATTATTATTACATTATTATTCTTGTTATTATTATTTTATTTCAATTATTAAACTGTTTTTATCTCAACCCACGAGTTTTTCTCACTTGTGCTCTTCCAATTCCCTCCTCCATCCCACCGGGGGGCGGGGGGAGTGAGCGAGCGGCTGTGTGGTACTCAGTTGCCGACTGAGGTTAAACCACGACAGTTTTGTTTCCTGTTCTTTAGTGTATTTGAATCACAAATCCTTCAGAACAGGAATTTCTGAAATTAGACTAGATATTCTTGAATAGGGGTATAGGTGTATACCAGTTTGATGTATAGGGCGAAATTTGGGCTTTTTTTTTTTTCAATGCCCTAGTGAGCAGTGTGGAAGAAAAGGCAATGACATGGTACTTCAGAATTTCTTCGAAGTACCTAAAAGCAAATGTGTCGTTCATGATTGATGACATAATGATAGTGTGTTTTTGGTAACGTATGCGCTCAGATGTTTCATAACTTTGGTTGGTTTGTTACATATCGGGCAGTAAGACCAGTTTTAATTAGCTAGGTGATTAAAGCTTTTAATCTGATCCACAGCTAGCCAATCAAGAAGCTGCATAGTCACTAACAAAGTGTTGAGTCTTGACGATTGCTTTGTACCCATAACCCTGTTGTACACAACTGCTCATAAAGAGAACTAGGAGTGGGGATAAGGAAATTAATTGCAAAAGCAGCAGTGTGAATTTCACTGTTGTAAATGGTAATTGATTCAAAACTAACTTTCTTCTCATCTTTGTTCCTTTTACGCTGCTCTTAAACACCTTTTCTCCTTAAATATGAAGTGGAAACCAAGGTGAGTTATTCTGACATTAAAGAGAATTCTAAACATTGGTAGTTCCTTTTGGTGTCGCTTCATCCTCTCTTTAAAGATAGGGCCTTATGCTTTTCGTAAATGCAGGCTGATTATTTAAACTGCATGGATACCAGCGCTGCTATTGCGAGAACTGTCTGTTGTTTTTCTTTGTTCTCTTTACTGTTTGCTACTTCCGTATCGAATCAAGGTAACGGGAATGTTGTCACTGTGCTCTAAACAAGAAGTTTATTCTTCAGAGCATTATTTAGAGTTTTTCACTTAACACACGTGCATGTGCGCATTTAGCCTCTGTTGACCTTAAGACAGATTTCCTATCCTGTTTTCCTGCCATCGGGCTTACTACTCCTGCTTGTGTGAATTGGTGAATTGTCACCTTATCTGTAAAAGGTGAAGGATGTCTTCACTTGTAAAAAGGAACCCCTTTCTTAGCTAGCGATAGAGTGGCTGTTAAAAAAGGGAAATGGAGGTTTTTCCGTGCTGTGCACCTATAATTCTGTTTTATGTTCTGCAGATGAAATTCCACTCAGTCGTCCCAAAAAAAGGAAGCCCAAAGGAAAGACTCCGTTAGGTAAGGTCCTGCCAAGACTGGAAACTGTGGTTGTAATCCCGGGTGAGACCTGTGCTGTAGCCAAGCTCCTGACAGATACACGGTTTTCAGTCTTGTACTCTATTTTTCAATAGTGTTCTCAGCTATTTTATTACAATTGATTTTGTATTGAACGACTGTGATCTTTTTCCCAAAGTGGTGTCATTTTAGAACAAGTCTGTAATGCTAACTTAAGTAACTTGTTCCATCCTGTGTTCTTTCTCCCTAGATCCATTCCCAGTACTGCTCATACAGCATGTCTTGATACTGAACATTGTTATGTTGAATGTGTTAAGTGCTTGAATTTTTGAATGAACTAAGATAAAAATCATTTAACAAATTGGCTCGATTTCAGTCCTTGGCCAAATAAAGTCACAAGTTAATCATTCCATTACCATCAAAGAGTTAAGAGCCTAAAATATGACTAACAACAGAGCTTTGTATTTTTACAAGAAGTGGATCTGCAGAACAAACATACCATTTTAAGCAAGATTACAAGTCTGATCTATTTTGATAAAGCAGAATATATTGATAGAATCTGGTGGACTTCTGTAAGCCAGTTGACTTGGGACCATACGATGCTTTGATGAGTAAACCTCCTTTATTTGCTTAAAAGAGTGTACAGTTGAGGGCTCACTGAAAGACCTGTAAATGCAACAAGTAGAGCTGTTGCTAGCAGGGTTTCCCAAGGATCAAGTTCTGTTTACTGTTGTTTTCAGTGACCTGAATGACAGTGCAAAGTACACCTTGGCTTTGGCCATTACTTTGCTGGTTAATTTTGTGTTTTAGCATAGAAAACCTTTCTAAAAGGTGGGAAAAGCTGTGCTTGAAGTGAAAACAAAGATAGATTCAGTTGTTATCATGAGAACTGCAGTACTTGGAAGAGCTATAAAAAGGCAGATGCGATGTGAAATGGAGAAGTAGCTTTGTCTTTCTACTTCTAATCATGCAAACATGCTAATGCTGCTAGAATATTTGATGAATTCATGTTAGCTTGTCATGGAAATGTAGTTCCTCCAAAGCGTAGTAATTCATCTCTCAGACTGGAGTAAGCATCCTTCAGTGTTGTTTTATTCTGCTCCTCCTTTATTCTTGTGGTGTTTGTTTAGCATTTAAATTTCCCTTTGATATTACACTATTTTGCCTTAGCACATATCTGTGTGAATAAATTTGTAACAAACTGTTATTTTTTCTTGTCCCTTGCATTATAATGTTTGCATGTAGAAAGGAAAAATATAGAGGTATAGTTCTTTCCTGTGGTAGATTCCTTTCAGTCAGTCCTCTGTTGTATGCCCAAATGGGAATTGTGCTGCTTCTTGGATACTTAAATTTCCTCCTGGGCATGAAACTGTCAGGGTGAAAGGAGGGTTGTTAGTTATCACCTTGTGTATTCTTACTTACCACCACCATTTGTTTCCCAACTCTTGTATTTTCTAGCCAGTACGTTTTCATCTCAGCTGTAAGCTGGGCAAAGACAGATGTTCTGCACAATGTAGCAAATGGCAGCTTTTTCTTGCCTGTTTCTCAGCGGCTCTGAATTAAGGTTGCTGGATCTTTTCATCCGGTTTTCAGATGGCATCGTCCAAGCAGCTGTTCGTTGGCAGTCTGAAAGCAGTGAGCCCCTGACTCCTGAACCTCATGATGTCCCTCCTCAGAGGAAACGCAAGAAGAAGAAAATACCCACCGGTATGTGAAATAATTGTAGATTGGAAAGAGCACTGAATAAAACTTGATAACACAGAAATATGACTGGCCAACTTGTATTTTGGCTTAAACCATTTCAAATCATGTCCTTTGGTCTTAAAATAGCTGAAAGTAATCTCTGAGTGAATGGTAGCTTGGAGTTTCAGTTTCTGATTTCAGATTCCATAGGGTACAAACCCTCATTCAAATAATGGCAATACAGTTTTGGAAGTGATAAAATAGATCCTTTATATCATTCAAAGCTCAGAAAAGCATCACTCACTTGCCACTGTGCTTATATAGTAACTATTTATGTATTTAAGTGAATGTAATTCCATTTTTCTGAAAGCTGTGAAACTTTCATGTGGTTTATTTTAAATCTTCAGATTCTGAGACCTCTTTTACCCAGCAAAATGTTGCATCCTTATTTCAGAATGGAAATGGCATGGATGTCCCTGAAGCTGAAGAAACAGTGATCCGCAAACAGAGAAAAAGAACAAAGTGAGACAAAACTAGTATAGCTCATAATTCAGAATAACTGTGATAGTGAACGTGGCTGAGTAGCATTTTACATTGTCACATTACAAAGATGTAAAATCTTGAAGCCCACGATACCATCAGCCTGTGCAATAAATAGTATGTGTGCAAGTCTTTCCAGGGTTAAGATCTAGCTTTCTTCACTTGTTTGTTTTATGCGTACCTGGATGCATTACAGTTCTGAGTACATTTACATGAGCCTAATATTTCAGTCACATGCATGAGAAAATTAGAATGTGTAACTGCTTTCTTTCATTCTTACTATCTTTTTCTTAATTTTATGAGAAACTTAACTGCTTTCTCATCCTTTTTATTTGCCTTTTCTCCAAGAACTATGCCTTTAAATCATTTTAGTCACCTTTCTACCAAAAGCATCCACTTTCTTGGCCTTCTATTTAGTTTGTATATTTTTTTTCTAATTGTTAATCTCTTGATATGTATTTCTTCCCACCTTATTGTTTTGACACAAGAAGGAATTTAAATAGAAAAAAAAACAAAATCAAGGATTAGCTTTATGGTTTTAGTTAACTAACTCCATGAGAGCTTTACTCCTTAAAATTATAAATAGAGGTAATATTACACAGGTCAGTAGCCTGATTGGTTCTTATCAGTCAAGTTAGACACGTTAAATGTTCATAGGTGCCTTCAGCTTTTACATTTTACTTCCTGTTCTTTCTCTGCCCCATTGTATGTTCTGAGCTGATAGGAAACCTCGGCCAGCCGAAACGCACTGTTCCAATGAGCTGGAAGTGGAGGAGGAAGACATCATTGAAGATGAGCACAGAAAGAGCCCAGATCAGCAGCCTGTGTTTGCTGCTCCCACTGGAATTAGCCAGCCTGTTAGCAAGGTGTTTGTTGAAAAAAATCGTAAGTACATCTTGTGATTTAAGTAATTTAAGGACATTCTTGCAACTAAAGGAAGCGTTACTGTATTTAAAATCCAAATACTGCACTATTGGGAAGAATTAAAGACAAAGAAGTTTTCCAGCACAAAAATTATATGGAAATAAACATACATTATAGTTTTTCAACAGCGTGTGTTAGTGTTGCTGTGCTGGCATGTTTGGTTGAATTTTTGAATTCCATGGTGTGGATAAAAAAGGCTGTTCGATGGTACCCAACTGCGCTTATTTGACCTAATACTGTCACATTACCGTGAGAAGAAACTATCATTTACTATATTGCAAAAAGTCTTTCAAGTGGAAGTTGTTTGTTGGTTTGGGGTTTTTTTGTTACCAGGGAACACTGAGTAATTACCCAAAGTGCTTTGCACATTCTTAAATCCATAGCCTGACCCACCAGGGTGCATCACATTGACAGAGGCATCCTGATACGAATGTAGGCTGACAAAGGGCAGGAAGTGGGGAGAAAAAATCTTCTGATGGAACTTTTGATGCTTACAGCTTTTTAACACTAATAAGTATTAATGTAGAAATGATGGTGGAAGGTAACAATACTCTCTAAAACTAATTTCCTAATCCTTTCAGGGCGTTTTCAGGCAGCTGACCGCGCAGAATTGATTAAAACCACTGAAAATATCAATGTACTTATGGACGTGAAGGCTTCATGGACTACCAGAGATGTCGCTCTCACAGTGCACCGAAGTTTCAGGTGAAAGATAAACGTTTTAGTGTAAATAAGCAGAAATTAGGTTTTTTTTTTTTCTTCTCCCTGAAAGTTAGCACCTTTTCTCTATCATTGCGATGTCTCTTTATTTCTTTTGGATATTCCTAATAAATGGTGGTTTGGGATGCAACAGGTATAAAGCTTCAGTCCTCTAGCTTTTGGTATTTGTTGTCAAGTATAGCTATTTCAAGTCTAGACATCACATGTGAAATGCAACTTATAAACAGAATAACTAAGGAAGTCATACTGCAAAGATCCAGACAAAATCTGAATAGCAAGAGATTGATCCAATAACAAAAATACTAGAGACCTATAGAAAAAATGTGTTACAAAACGAGATTCGCCCATTAGCTATAATATGACCAGAATTAAAATACCTGAATTTAGATAATTCTCAAAGAAAAAATCCTGGCTGGTGAAAAAGATGGAGGAGTGAAATTGGACTGGGGCATAAGCTTGCACACAATAGCAAAAAATTATTATTTCTTTTTTAATGTGTGGTCGCGTTGTGATACAGAATGGGAAGACGACAGTCATTTTCTTCTCTGGTGTATTTTATCTGGAAGCCTGTGCTTTCTTCTCAGCTTTTTCTTAGCAAGGAAGATAATGAAAAGACTGGCTCAAGGACAAGTTTAAGAGCATTGTGTAAGTGTAAGGGGCAGTGGTTGTGGGAAGCTACAGGCAAAATGGGAGAGTGCAGCGAGTGAAAGTATTTGATTCTGGTAGCAATAATGAAGTGAAGTAGTGATAGGATCAGGCAAAACATTTCAGTTTTCTTTGTTGAGTGCTCAGGTACTGGTGCAATCTGTCAAGGGAGGAAGCAGAAGTCCCGTTGCTTAGAATTTTTAAAACTAGATCAGAAAAAGCACTCGGAAACAGTCTGTGAAAGGCTGGCATCCTGTCACGGCAGCAGGGTTGAACAGATGGATTCATAGGCCTTTTCTGTCTGTAGTGCTTCACTAATTCAAGGTGTTAAACTTGTCTAATGTTCTTTTCTCCATTCAGGGTGATCGGACTCTTTACCCATGGCTTCCTTGCCGGGTATGCTGTATGGAACATCATTGTTATCTACATTTTGGCAGGAAGTCAACTTTCCACAGTTTCTAACCTGCTCCAGCAGTATAAGACACTAGCATACCCAGCTCAAAGTTTGTTCTATTTGTTGCTGTCTATCAGTACAGTCTCAGCCTTTGACAGGTAAAATATGTTTGTATTTGAAAGGTGTACATAATTTGTGTGCAATATGCTCCTTTCTCTGGCACATTTTGATCTGCTGTTGATGATTTAATGTGATATACTTAAGAGAATGATTTTACACATGGCTGGCTATACAGATAAAGGGGGTACTTGTGCATTCAGACCTTTGTTACTCATTTCTGTCCATTGTCTGCAGCCTTGCTTCAATGTGATTGCACTGTTTGTGTGATCATGAGATGAACCAGATGGGAGAGCTGACCTGTTTTTTTTTGGGGGGAGAGAGGTGGTGGGGAACAACTAATGTTTCTATCAGGTTACTTTTCATGTGAATCCATTCCCCAGTCAGGTTTGCTACACGGCTTGTGTAAACAGTTTTCCTGTCTTAGCTGGGGTTTCTGTATTACAGCTTAAGAGTGGGAATGAACAGAAAGAGGAGCAAAAAAGACCATAAACAGAGTAGACTCATAGATGTTTCTTTTGGTAGTTTCCACGGCAGCATGGTAGGCCAGGGGAGAAGTCTGTTCTGTGGAAGAAATTGTGACTTTTTTTAAATTGAGTGGTGGCAGGGAGGACGCCCAAGTTACTCTTAATTGCTCGCTTACTAGTGTAAGCTATGTGAGCAGTTATATTAGCATAACTCGGTTGGTGGTGTGGACACTGAAATGAATGGTAAGGATTAGAGAGGGGACAGATCTCTCCACATTCTCCTTGTTCCAGAAAGGACTGCAGTGTGAAAGGTACAAACCTCATGGAACATCCTCCTTAGTTTCAATCTTTCTTGGATTTGGCATAATGAGGATCATTGTGTGGAATATAGTTGTGTATTAAGGCACTGTAACACAGGCAGAAGAAGGTATCTTGCAAAAAGTAAAAGAACAATAGAATACTGTTAGAGGAACAATATTATTATTTTATTGGGCTGTGTTAACGACTCTTGTTTTTGTAATCAGGATTGATTTGGCAAAAGCATCAGTTGCACTGAGAGGCTTTCTTACCCTAGACCCAGCAGCAGTAGCCGCTTTCTGTAAGTATTCTGAAGCAGATAGGAAGTTGTCCAGAAAAGACAGTAGATGGAGAAATCCTACATACTGTTTTCAGTGAAATCTTCGTCCCTGGTTATTTTCTGCTTTAGAATAAGTGACTTGCTAAGTAGTTGAAAATAGCATTCAAAGGCTATGAACCCTTTGCTACATATTTTTTAAAGCATTTGCAAAAGTAGCATTAGTGGGGCTATGAGTGAGATAGTTCTTTTCCCACTTCTGAATACAGAACACAGACCTAGCAAAAACCAGAATCACAAGATGCCACCTTTTGATGTAGCTGATCAACTGCAAAAGTGCAGAAACCAGATTTTGATGGGCCAGGGGAATGTTGAAGAAGAGAGAATGAATTAAAGGAGACTATCGTTGGAGGCAGTGGAGTGAAAAGAAAGAAAAAGTAGTGATAATTATCATGTCATGATGAGACAGCATTTTTGGGGTTTATATCTGACACAACTAATTCCATTTCTTCCAGTGTACTTTGCTGCTCTTATCTTATCCTTAAGCCAGCAGATGACATGTGACAGAATTAACCTCTACACACCACCTTCAGAAAATGGCAGCATCTGGTAGGAAACTTCAGAAATCACTTCTGTAAATTATAACATAGCCCACTTAGGAACCTTAGTCAAACTGGTGGATTGAAAAGGTTATACAGCATACTTAAGAAAGTATTAATGAAGGATTTCATTACTAAACCTGCCTTTGTCTGAGCTTGTCCTGAATCTGATAATTTCACTGAAAAATGAGAACCCAGGGATGGGTTCGGTCATGTTGGTCACAAATCCATTATACCTCAAACAAGAGCCTGTTGGAATGATGCTGAAAATGTCGTCTGGCAGGAACTTGAAGAATCTCTTTTGCTGGAGAAATGGGACGCTACTGAGGTAACCCTTTTTGTGTTCAAGGGCAGGACATTCTGTAGAGATTCAACACTTTGAAGATGATGGTCTAATCTGTCCAAGGAATTAATATCATGGTATTACAAAGAAGTGGTGTCTGCCACAGGATGCAAGGACTTAGCAGACACAGCTGGCATTAAATATGAAGCATTGTTTCATGCTAGGAGATCCCATCCAAAACTGTTACTTTCTGAAGTAGATATTTAATGGACTTGTACTCCAATAGCTCGAGTTTTTAAAATAGACCAGGAGAAGTAGAACAAAAGCATTTACATGAAAATTTGTTGGTTTGGGCAGTTAGATATTTTTTTCTTTTTTTTTAGGGCTTCTATAAATGTTTGTTGAGTTGTTTATTAAAAAGCCTAGATTCTAGTAACAAAACCGCAACCTGCTGCTGTTACGACAGTAAGAAAAGTGTCAGCTAACTTAAATCATAACCTTCTTAAAGCCCTATCTCATCCACCCCACAGCATCTGTACACAAGTCCTTGCACTCGCTTCCAGACAGACTTTACTGACTTGCTGTTCACTTGCTTTGCTGCCTCATGAGGAATTGCTTAAAAATAAGATTGGCGGACGACATTGTGCTGTATCTTTTCACCACAGTAAAATTTGACCATGCATTTTGATTCTTATTTTCTGTCTCTTGGCCAAGAAAAGGAATTTGCTGTTGAAATCTACAAGTGGACATTCTCTATGAGATAATGGGGTTTCTTAGCTGAGTTGCTGTCTTTGGTAGTCGCTCTCTTTACCAGGTCTTTGCAATGTTAGACCATCAGGATGGTACAAGTAATTCTGTTTTCACATCTGGTTTAGCAAGCTTGTTTTTATGATACTCTGTTGAAATTATTATTGTAACCTGCATGTCCCAGTGAACCCCTGACTGATTGGTTGATGTGCTTTTCCCAGGACGACAGGTACAGAGGAAGAAATTGTTCAGCCGTGGATTGTGGTGAATCTGGTAGTGTCTATTCTAGTTGGGGCAAGTTGGATCTTCTTGTCTTACCGACCAGAGCTAGACCACAGTGAAGGTAGGAAACATTAATAGGCAAAATGTTGTTTGTTCAGGCTTTTATCTGCTGTGCTCTGCATTCGGTGTTCAAGACTAGTCCTGAGAAATTTTGTGGCTGAGGAAAAACAAGCATCTCCTAGCAACTTTCCAAAGCAAGTGCTTCTTAGGATGCTGGTGTCTGTGTTTGGTCTTGTAAAGAAAAAACAGTAATTTAAAAATAAAAGAAAAGCCTTGTTTGTCCTGGCTGAAGAAACATGAGAGAGCATGTGTCTTTTCTTCATTGAAGGGAAAAATAATTCTTACTTGTAACATCATTTTGAATATTTGAAATGTATTTATTCTGTTTGTGGTTTAGAAAATTCCCTAATGTTATTAATGTTCCTTTTTGCAAATGATGAATGCGTTTTGAGTTCAGTATTATTTTCAATAGAACACTGCAGTAGTTTTGGGAACTTCTGAGCTTTGAAAAGTCAGATTTGAGAACAGGACTTCAGATGAGGACTGCTTGTGTTGGTCCAGGCTGGAGGAGGGGGCAAGCAAGTAGTCCCATTTTCTTAGAAGAAGCTTTGCTAGAGACTAGGCCTTCTTCCTTTTGTTGTTCCAACTGGGATCCAACAGGTGTATCATAACTCAGATTTCCTATCAAGTGCATGCAGCCTGTGACTTGAAGCTATATGCTGTACATAAAAATCCTAAGTTTCAACTTACAAGTCAGCACGTATCCAAAGAGCATCATGAGTCGAAATACAGATTTCTGTTTGGGAGGCTGAAGAAGATTCAATATGCTTCTTCAGATTACTTTAGAATGTTAATGTACAGATTTTTGTATTTCAGCTGGCCCCAGTTACTCTGCTTATTTCTAATAACTCAATGAGTTAAAAAAAAAAACCTAGGTGGCAGCCTTTACAATCTTTGAAAGTAAAATTTCTAATAGATGTTTAAATTGCATTTAAGAGCCATTTTTTTTTAAATAAAGACTTATTCAAGGAAGCCAGTGGCAGGATTTAACTCGGGTTTTGATGAGCTTTTTTTGATATTTACATGTGCCTACTAAGATTAGAAAACCTGCTTCAGAAATTTCAAGAGAGAAATTCTCTTAGGACTTACCCCAAATAGCAGAGGAAGTTTAGTCTACTACGGATGAGGTAGCAAAAACATGTGAATCTCAAACTTGAGCGGATAAACCACATTGTTGCATGTACAGATTGTGTAACTTTACCGTGTTGGCAAACACAGCCTGGTCTATATGTTGAAGGTGCTGTTAGCAAGTCTGAAAGTACACCTACAGTGAAGGTGCAGTATAGATATGTAAGGGAGCCCAGATATGAGAGGCAGCACAGAGCTCTACAACGGCTACCTCATCAGCTGCTTGGCATGCCTAGCTGAATTTCTCTGCAAGGAGCTCTTCACTGCTGACCTTAGGCTGTCTTCCTGTGCCTGAGCTGCCACGGTGACAGCTAGCTGTGAGCAAGATCATTCATGATTCTATCCCAGGTTCTAGTGTTGCTAACTTAGGCTGTGATAGATAGAGCAGATATATCCATAAATGAACAGGTCTCTAAACAGAAATCTTCCTTCTTAAGTCCGACACTCTCAAAACTTTAACAACCCCTCAATCTACTTTCAGATTTCTGTTTCAGTGTCCAGGTTGAATGCAGGATGATACTGCATATGATCAGCTGCTAACATCATCGCTAATTCTGTTAATTTTGGGGAGCAACAGTAGTTTTCTCAAGACAGCGGTGGCCCTTGACATTGCTAAATTGTTGGTATCATGATGGGGAAGAAAAGCAGGAGACTTGGGGAAATGCCAGAGTACTTTTCAGGAATAATGAAATCGTATTCAGGTGAAACTTTTAAAAGAAAACATAATTCTTTTCTTTCTCTTTTAGAACTGATGTTTCATGCTGAAATCGAGGAATTTCCCCAGGGAGATATACCCAGAGCCCAGCCATAGTGTGGAACAAGCATCTGCAAATATTGTAGCAGGGACTGATGGCTCAACATGTTGTGTATTATAGCCATGGATTATAACTTTCTTAAAGAAAAAAATGTATTTTTATATTGTATATATTTGATTTTGATCTTTTTATGTATGCTACAATTTCCAAATGTGATTGAAAACTTTTATACTTTTGTTTTTTATTTTACAAAGTAGATTCTCTAGTGCATAAAGTCAAGGTGGTTTTGTAAACATTGCTACCTGTATAGCCAAAGAAACTAGATGGATGCAGAAGATCAGGTATACAGTGCTTTTTTGACTGCTGTACAACAATCTGCTGTTGTTACTGATGCTGATAGCAGTTGGCTTACCTGATTTGGCTAAATACTCTCTAGAGATTAAAACTAATCTTATGAAGAAAGTAGTCTAAGGAAGATTATAACAAAACAGAGTTAGGAAACATAAAAATGACAAAGTTAGCAAGCATAAAATAATCTGGGTTTAGTTGTCATAAAAAAGTATTTGCTAGAATAAAGCACTGGATTGTCAGGGATTTTATTTGATAATTCCTTAAAACAGGACACTATTTTTCTTCATCCTCATTTAGTTCTCTTGACAAAGATCTTGATGATAACAAGTCCTTTCAAGTTGATGTAGACAGAAGAAACCGAAGTTTTAATGTTGCAACAGTTTGGTCAGCTAATGAATACCTAAATACATCTTTTAATCAAGCAGGGTGGTTTTGGGTTGCCAACAGGACATACATACGTCCTGTAATTTCTCGACAGTCAGGACGCATAACTATTACAGAGCCATTCACAGGAATAGCGTTCCGATTTCTCCTTATCTTGTATGGCAAGAGCAGCAGTGTTATTCACTGCTCTTTCTACAGAAACTTGGATTTCACAGATGTTAAAAATGTTCTTATTTCTACCTATTTTGATGAAGAATGATTTCCCCCAAAAGGAGGTTTGTTGTTTTCTGTTGGGATGGTATGGGAAACTTCTTCCTAAAATTACAAGAAAATGCTTACTAAAGCAAAACAAAAACCCTATAGCAACCCACCTTCTATGTAGTGATGTAGTACTAATAGTGGCAGTTAGTGGTTTTTGATGATGAAAGCCAACATTCTTTTTCTTTTATATTAAAGTGGCAAAACGAAAGCATTGCAGATGTGAATAAATACAGATGTCTTGCAGGATGAAACAGTTTCCTTAGCAGACATAGACGAGAGCTAGTTTGAAATCCATTTCTCAAAAAAGTATCACCTAAAGCCCCAAAACTATTTGTATATGTTATTTAATGTATTGATTTTGCATTGTTTTATTTAATGTGTGTGTTGATTTTGTAAACATTGTGGTTTACAAATGTGGTTTACTAAGTGTGGTTGTAAATGTTGTGCAGTTGTCAAAGTTCCCTGGAGAATAACTGTACTTTCTAGTAGTGAAGGTAAGACTTGAAGGGGGATGTTAAAGAGCCAGTAACTTTCTATGCTGTTACTTGAGTTGCTTTAAAACAAGGATGGGAACATGAATAACTAGGGCTGCTGCTGCCCTGTTGAGGACTTGAGTTCTGTTATGCTTATCCAGCAAATTTAAGTAATTCAAAAATTCAGTGTTCATGACATCTTTTAAATAGTGTGGTAATCTTGGGAGGGGGGGAGAGTTCTACCAGAATTAAAAGACTTTCCACAGCTGTTGGCTATGTTCTGGGGCACTCACTTTGTTGTGGGAAGGAGCTGTTAATCTTTTTTGTAAATTGTTATGGTTCTTGTGTATGTTTTTTTTGCAAAACTGTAGAGCTAAATTATGGCTGGCACTCCATTGTACATTAAAATTGAGAGATTCATGGTGCTTCTCCCCTTCAGTGTTACACTGGAGGTTCTTGTCATAATTTGGCTGTACGAGATAGAGATGAAACACTACGTAGTGTTCCCATGCAAGTTGCCACCACACTTTCTCCAGATGTGGTGTGTTTGATTTATAGAATTGTTGAGCTCCTGAAGATGAGATTAGTAATGGCTTCTCTTTGCTGTTTGACATTTCCGTCATCTTGGCATGGTAAGAAGTATAATTTTGCCCATCAAGTATGGAGCTCAGGCACAACAGTGCTAAGGCATCAAATCAGTACAGGAAAAACTTGAATAACATCATTGCTTGCGTGCTGATATTACTAGGAATTGGCCTTCCAAGTATCCCTTGGACAAAGTGATGCTAGCCAAGAGCCAGATTTGTTCTTGTCGTGAAATACAGTAGTTTGTTTAGATGGTTGAGCAGGGATTACGTTAATGAACTTAATGGGATCAATATTTCAAACCAGGCTTGCCTTTCCAGTTTATATTTTTTGGGAGGGTCTAAATATATGCATACTTGAATTAATGAGGTTTGAGGTTTGCCATTTAAAATCACTATAAATAATTAGATGGCTAATTAGCTATCTTACAAAGTACTTCTCCTTCCATTAAGCCTCACAATGGAATATGAGTTGAACTGAGCTTTTTTGTTTAGTTACTTGGACAGTTTTAGAACGAGTTTACAAAAAGATGTTTAATTACAGAACATGCAGTATCTGTAGAAGCCTTAACTGAAATGCCTTTGTGCGTTTCCATACCGTTGTTTTTAATGCAGTATTTTTGTGTTAATGAAAAAATTACAAAGATGTTAGTGCCAATTTCATGGTTTTACATATATGAAACAATTAAACAGTTGCTCAAAACTAGTTAGAAATGATTGTACTTTGTCCTGTTTCCAAATGATTAATCTGTTTATTATGTGTAATACACAAGCTCTGAACAGGTGACTGTGGGAATACATTTTGTCTTTATTTGTGGTAGTGGTGTAAATAATGGCTTTGCTTTCTCTCCATCACATTCCTGC